CCTAATAGCAACGGCCTCCAACCTAATAGCAACGGCCTCCAACCTAATAGCAACGGACTCCAACCTAAGAGCGATCGCCTCCAACCTGATAGCAATGGCCTCCACCTAATAGCGATGGCCTCCAACCTAATAGCAATGGCCTCCAACCTAAGAGCATTGGTCTCAACCTAAGAGCGATGGCCTCCAACCTAATAGCAACGGTCTCCAACCTAAGAACGATGGCCTCCAACCTAAGAGCAACGGCCTCCAGCCTAACAGCAACGGCCTCCAACCTAATAGCAACGGCCTCCGACCTAAGAGCGATGGCCTCCAACCTAATAGCAATGGCGTCCAACCTAAGAGCAATGGCCTCCAACCTGAGAGCGATGGCCTCCAACTTAAGAGCGATGGCCTCCAACCTAAGAGCGATGGCCTCCAACCTAATAGCAATGCCCTCCAACCTAATAACAATTGCCTCCAACCTAATAGCAATGGCTTCCAACCTAATAGCAATGGCCTCCCAACCTAATAGCAATGGCCTCCAACCTAATAGCAACGGCCTCCAACCTAATAGCAATGGCCTCCAACCGAAGGCCTCCGCCTCCAACCGAAGGCCTCCAACCTAATAGCAATGGCCTCCAACCTAATAGCAATGGCCTCCAACCTAATAGCAATGGCCTCCAACCTAAGAGCGATGGCCTCCAACCTACGAGGGCAAAGAACATCACCGATGTCAGAGAAGTGCAGTACTCAGTACAATATCAGTAGTGCTTAAATGTTGTTTGTCTCCTTTTCTATTCTTTATATCTTCAGTAAACATGTGCAAACAGGTCAAAAGCTACTGAACCTCTCTGTTTCATCTCAGCAACATAAAAGAGCAGCAAGTTCTCGGGAGGATTGCTGGGCTCTTTCGCGTGATGGAACGTCGCATACCTCAAAGGCAAGCAGCGGCTAGCTTGGTTGCAAAGGCTAGCATAGTCGCTACCACTTCGATTTATCACACAATGTGAGGTGGACAAAACTACTTCGTGTTCTCAATGCCGGCCAGTCTCAGTTTCCAGAGTTTTGGAATGAAGCAAGGAACTACATTCAATCAAGGAAAGGTATCTGTAGGATTGGGCCCCTATCCATTGTGCAAGGCTCTGATCAATTCACGCATACTTAATCACGTCATTACTAAAGTACATTGCATGTGCGGGAGTTTGGTCGGATGCTTGTGTGTTGCTCGTTATTTCCGACGGTGAAGCAGTTGCTTTAGCAACTGTGTGTTTTTTTCCTCGAACCGGTCTGAGTTTGTCTTGCAAAGGAAATAAACACTAGTGTTCCCGTGATATCTACTGAGCAGCGGAACCAATCGCTGCTCTGGTAAGTGGTTTCCGAGCTTTCAGGCATTTCAAGCATCTACTACTAATAGCATAAAATGACTAAATGACCTCCAACCGATGGCCTCCTAATAGTATACAAGTAGTTCCCGGGCAAGCCGGCGGCGAAAGTTTCCTGTAAGAAGAAATTGACCTATAGGAGTGTCCACGTTCTCTCCACCATGCGTGTCCCTCGTGGCACTCACTGAGCCAAACGCATGCGCTCCGGACTTTTGACACACGCTCACACACAGCGCCACCTGTGCAAGGTCTGTGCTCCCTGCAGGATCAGCGCACTGGGTTGTGTCTATGCCAAAGCAAGATCACCAGCCCACACCGGCGTGCTGAAGCAACTGGGCATCTGCAAGCGAAAGTTAAGTGCAGCTGGCGCGGGCACGCGAAGTGGGTGGTATTTTCAAAGTCAAAATCATGTCTTCATTGTCCAGCTTGCCAAATACTCCGCGTACTTTACAGTTGTACTACAATGTCGCCAGTTCTCATTTTCCAGCTCCCCAGATACTCAGCAGCGAGAGATGACTCAGCAGCGAGAGATGCCTCATCCGCATACTAAAGTTGTACTACAAAGTCGCCAGTTCTCATGGTCCAGCTTGCCAGATACTCCGCGCACGACAGTTGTACTAAAGTTGTCCTACGAAGTCACCAGTTCTCAGCTTCCAGCTCCCCAGATGCTGTGCCTGCCACGAAATCTGCCCATGGAGGTTCACAAAGTGCTGCGCCTGCCACGAAATCTGCACCTCGACGCTCACAAAGTGCTGTGTCTGCGAAGAAATCTGCACATGGAGGTGCACAAAGTGCTGTGCCTGCCACGAAATCTGCACATGGAGGTTCACAAAGTGCTGCGCCTGCCACGAAACCTGCGCATGGAGCTTGAGCTGGTGTATGAGCGGTGTATGATGAGTGGTGTATGATGAGTGGCGTGTGATCAGTCGTGTATGATGAGTGGTGTATGAGGAGTAGTGTATGATGAGTAGTGTATGAGTCGCCAGTTCTCATCGTCCAGCTTGCCAGATACTCCGCGTGCTAAAGTTGCACTACAAAGTCGCCAGTTCTCAGCTTCCAGCTCTACAGATTGCTCCGCGCACTAAAGTTGTACTAGACAGTCGCCAGTTCTCACCATCCAGCTCCACAGATACTCCGCGTACTAAAGTTGTACTACAAAGTCGCCAGTTCTCAGCTACCAGCTCTACAGATACTCCGCGTACTAAATGTTGTACTACAAAGTCGCCAGTTCTCACCATCCAGCTCCACAGATACTCCGCGTCGTAAAGTTGTACTACAAAGTCGCCAGTTCTCCTCGTCCAGCTCGCCAAATACTCCGTGTACTAAAGTTGTACTACGAAGTCACCAGTTCTCAGCTTCTAGCTGCACAGATGGCTCCGCGTACTGAAGTTGTACTACAAAGTCGCCAGTTCTCATCGTCCAGCTTGCCAGACACTCCGCGTACTCAAGTTGTACTACAATGTCGCCAGTTCTCAGCTTCCAGCTCTACAGATTGCTCCGCGTACTAGAGTTGTAATAGAAAGTCGCCAGTTCTCAGCTTCCAGCTCTACAGATTGCTCCGCGTACTAAAGTTGTACTAGAAAGTCGCCAGTTCTCAGCTTCCAGCTCCACAGATACTCCGCGTACTAAAGTTGTACTACAAAGTCGCCAGTTCTCAGCTTCTAGCTGCACAGATAGCTCCGCGTACTAAAGTTGTACTAAAAAGTCGGCAGTTCTCAGCTTCCAGCTCCACAGATACTCCGCGTACTAAAGTTGTACTACAAAGTCGCCAGTTCTCATCGTCCAGCTTGCCAGATACTCCGCGTACTACAGTTGCACTACAAAGTCGCCAGTTCTCAGCTTCCAGCTCCCCAGATGCTGTGCCTGCCACGAAATCTGCACATGGAGGTTCACAAAGTGCTGTGCCTGCCACGAAATCTGCACATGGAGGTTCACAAAGTGCTGCACCTGCCACGAAATCTGCACATGGAGGTTCCCAAAGTCCTGTACCTGCCAGGAAATCTGCACATGGAGGTTCACAAAGTGCTGCACTTGCCACGAAATCTGCACATGGAGGTGCACAAAGTGCTGTGCCTGCCACGAAATCTGCACATGGAGGTTCACAAAGTGCTGCACCTGCCACGAAATCTGCACATGGAGGTTCCCAAAGTGCTGTGCCTGCCAGGAAATCTGCACATGGAGGTACACAAAGCGCTGCACCTGCCACGAAATCTGCACATGGAGGTTCACAAAGTGCTGTGCCTGCCAGGAAATCTGCACATGGAGGTACACAAAGTGCTGCACCTGCCACGAAATCTGCACATGGAGGTTCACAAAGTGCTGCACCTGCCACGAAATCTGCACTTCAAGAAACAAGTGAAAACTCTAATCCCAATGGACGGACGATTCCGAGCATGATCCGAGCATGATCCGAGACCGTCTCGCACCCGTCGTTCCGCAGACCTTGACTTGCCAGCTTCGGAGCCACCGGTTCCATTGAAAAATACAGCATTTCGTGCGTTCGCTCTCTCTCCTCAACGCATTTTGTATTGCGCCTGCCACGACATCTGCACATGGAGGTGCACAAAGTGCTGTGCCTGCCACGAAATATGCACATGGAGGTTCACAAAGTGCTGTGCCTGCCACGAAATCTGCACATGGAGGTACACAAAGTGCTGCACCTGCCACGAAATCTGCACATGGAGGTTCACAAAGTCCTGCACCTGCAACGAAATCTGCACTTCAAGAAACAAGTGAAAACTCTAATCCCAATGGACGGACGATTCCGAGCATGATCCGAGACCGTCTCGCACCCGTCGTTCCGCAGACCTTGACTTGCCAGCTTCGGAGCCACCGGTTCCATTGAAAAATACAGCATTTCGTGCGTTCGCTATCTCTCCACAACGCATTTTGTATTGCGCCTGCCACGACATCTACACATGGAGGTGCACAAAGTGCTGCACCTGCCACGAAATCTGCACATGGAGGTTCACAAAGTGCTGCACCTGCCACGCAATCTGCACCTGGAGCTGGAGTTGCCTGGAGCTTGAGCTGTTGAAACCAGAGCTGGTGTATGATGAGTGGTGTATGATGAGTGGTGTATGATGAGTGGTGTATGATGAGTGGTGTATGATGAGTGGTGTGTGATGAGTGGTGTATGATGACTGGTGTGTGATGAGTGGTGTATGATGAGTGGTGTATGATGAGTGGTGGTTGAACAGCTGTTGAATGTCCGTAACACGGAAGTGTTGCACACTAAACTTCCTTTGAAAATAGCCTCTTTGCCACTACATACCACTACCCCTTTACGATGGGCCTTGTGGAATGGGCCGGACCAGTTCTTTCCCTCAAGTTGGCTTTAAGTGGCTTCCACTTCACATAGATCGATCTGGTGACCATGAAGAAGCGGCTTGCGATCCACAAGAGATGTGCTCCGCCCAACGGGAAATTCCTCGAGTCGGCTTGGAGAAAAGGTGAGACTCGATGGTCTTGGGCATACCAACTCTTCATCCCTAAGAGCGATGGCCTCAATATCAAACATGATTTGAATGTTCACACAATATAACTTCATGTTCAAACAGGACCTTTCTTCCTTCTTTGTAGTCATTCAATTTCCAATCGTTGCTTCACCGTTGTTGTGCGTCACGGAAGGGTTCGCCACGGATTCGACAAGTTGTGGATAGGCTGTTTCTGCTCGAGAACGCCAAGTCACATGGACATATTCGACAAGCCCTGATCGCCCAGGAAGTACAGTGCCACCAAAACACCTGAGTAGGAAAGGGCATCGATACGAACGGAGCAAGGTTCGCTACTAGTAGCTCCTGGCCGTACTACTAGTAGCAATAAAGCTACTAGTATCAAGGGCATTACTAGGTATTGAAAATCAATCTGGTGCAACCATCAAACAAAACTGAAGCAAGAAGCTACTAGTAGCGATGCGCTTTGCTCCTAGTAGCGTCCTTGCTCCTAGTAGTAAGGCCAGGAGTTCCTAGTAGCGTCCTTGCTCCTAGTAGCGATGCCAGGAGCCCCTAGTCACGTTCTTCTTGCGAGCCACACATCATGGTGTAGACCTTGATTGCTCTGAAGTGTCTTTTCCGTCTTGACTTTCCCATCAGCAATGATGCCATTGCTGCGGCCAGAACATTGTCAAAGACCTGAGGCATCTGACCTCCATGAAACTCCATATCATAATGCATCATACTATAGGAGCAAGGACGCTACTAGTTACTAGGAGCAAAGGGCATCGCTACTAGGAACAAGAACGCTACTAGGGGCTCCTGGCCATACTACTAGGAGCAAGGACGCTACTAGGGGCACATATAGAAATAACACACATAATGATGTGTATATAAATACACATACAAGAAACGCGTTAACGATATGAAGTTCTCTCCTCAACACTTGTTTTTAATGTTTAAGTTCTTGGCATCAAATAGATGTCACCAGAAAGTGCATGGAGACAGGTGTTTATTTGAGACATTCTATCTCAGCTTCTTATGTGTAGCTCTCTAGTCAGTTCCATATCAGGTGACGAGCTTTAACCAAGAGGCTGTGAGCACCAAGCAGTCACAGATCGTCAGTTCTTTCAATGCCATGAATGCCAAGACCTCGTGAATTCTCGAGCTAGAACATGTTCCTAGTCGCGTCCCCTAGTAGCGAACATTGCTCCTATAGAACATGTTGCAACCTCTGTTTTTCTCAAGAAATGTTTTTTTAGACGACCCAAACGAGGGCTTGAGACAGTAACCAACTAATGATGATAACATGTGAGCAACGAGGCATCGAACAAAAAGAACTGCAAATGCTGAGGGACACAAGAGAGAGCCCCGAAGAAGCCAAGAATTGGAAGATCCTTCACTGGCGAGAAGGGGTTGCGGCCAGCCTGCGCAGAAGAATGCTTTAGGCAGCTTTGGGGGCTCAAGGGATCCTCACAAGATTTGAAGATTGTATGGCTTCGTCTGTCATCCTTTTGGATTGTGGATCTTGTCTGACCAGCTTGGAAGCACATGGAGGCCATCGCTACTAGGTTGGAGGCCATCTCATCACAAAGAAATGCATCAACAGGGTCTAGAGTCTAAAGAATGCACTCTTGCAGAAACCTTCTAGTAGTAACAGGTGCCACGCTAGTAGAAACAGGTGCCTTACTAGTAGTAACAAGAAGCTAGTAGAAACAAGGGCCTTGCCGAAACCTTCTCATTAGAAACTTGGCGAGTCCACACCTAAGGGCAAGGCTCCAACCCTTGTCACGTTCGTAACATGAGAATTGTCTGTTTTCACGTTCTAGTGTGGGGTGGGAGCAAGGACGCTACTAGGAACAAAGGGCATCGCTACTAGGAGCAAGGGCCTTACTACTAGGAACAAGAAGCTAGTCATTTTAATTCTAATAGCTTCTTGTTACTAGTAGCGATGCACTTGTTACTACTAGCGATGCACCTGTTACTAGTAGTAAAGGAATAATAGAATGCAGCTGAAGCGTTCCACGAAAGAACGACGGCCGCGATTCGTTTCTTTCGCCCTCACATGCGCTCGCCTGCCGCTCGATGAAGAGTCGTGAGACCACCGAGGTAAGCACCAGCCATGGCCAAAACATCATACTGTAGATGTAAACCTGGAAAGGAGGGAAGGAAGGATGAAGAAAGGACTTGGCCTCCAACCTACTAGCGGTGGCCTCCAACCTAGAAGCTAAATGTAAACCTGGAAAGGAAGGACGATGAAGAAAGGAAGGAACACAAGGAACAAAGATATGGATGCACATAGCATTCTGTAGGTGTCAAAATGTGTACACCTGTAGAATTCAGTAGAACACTTTTCTGAATAGTCTTTCTTTGGACGGTAGCAGAATGACACCTATCGGGAAAAGAAAAGAAGAACCACAACAGCAGCGAATCGACATTGCTCTGAATTGATCTTTGTTGTCTGCAGCACCTCAAACAGGCTTTCCCCAAATCTTCCAATGCCTGGCAGCAATCGCTAGTAGGTTGGAGGCCATCTCTATTAGGCTGGAGGCCATCGCTACTAGGTTGAGGTTGGAGGCCAGTTCTCTTCTATCTTCTCGTCCAGCTGAGAAAACATGCGTTTTCGATTCGGACCTGGCCTAGAATCAAGAGGAAAATAAGCGTAAAGACCAACGCCACATTGGAAATCAAGGATGCCTTGGAAGAATCTCTCTCTGCGACCAAAGTGACACTACGTAACTTCAGCTAAGGGGCCATCGGAGGGCATGGAATAAATCTCCAAAGGTTGAATACCTCGGCTGGTCTCAGGTGCATTCAAGTGCAACACGCTCCAGCTGACAAAAGCGGATCACAAGTCTTTTCAGGGATTCCATCAAAGTTGCTACTCGAAGGAAAGGCAAGCAGCTGCCGACAGAAAGCAGCAGCAGTAGATTGTTCACGTAGTAATAGGACTGCAAACCTTGGAACAGCAAACTTGTACAGCACGAACAATCTCCTCTCTGGAAAAAAACAAACAAACACAGGTCTGACGGTCTACAGAAAAAAGGTAAAGTAAGAAAGGAAGAACGGCCTAACAGTAGAAACATAAAAGGTCTTACTGAAGAAAGAACCACAAGAAAACCAAATTATTTATATAGAGCGAAAGGGGGTTTGACGTTAACCCCTGGACAAGGCTGGTCTCATGCAATGGACTTAACTATCCTTTGATTAATAGCAATAATGTGTTTAAATCGTTTTGGTATAGAATATACATATGTTTCTTCGATTTGATTGACTTTTTCTTTGAACCCTCAAACACATTTTGTCAATTCTTCCTTCTTTCATTTCCTTATTCCCTGGAAGGCTCAAGAATGCTCTAAACAAGAGAATCTTATCGGTACCTGATGTGATGATTTGATCGAAGTCGCAGTCATCGAGATGGATGATTTCTAGGTGCATTGGCGAACACTGCAAAGGCACTCCAAGTACTACTTGGACGGCTGACAAAATATTATGTGTGTTAAACATTAGATTGAATAAGCAAACGAGAATGGTCCCATTGGCAAAGTTGAATCTAAACTCGAACACAAAGGCCTTAAGGTCTACAAGGTCTACAAGAAAAAGAAAGAACAAAGAAAAACTTTTGGAAAGGGCAGAAACCAAGAAACCTAATACCCCATAGAGATGGCCTCCAACCTAAGAGACCTGGCCTCCACCCTAGTAGCGATGGTCTCTAACCTAGTAGCGATGGCCTCCACCCTAGTGGCGATGGTCTCCAACCAATAATAGGGATGGCCTCCAACCTAGTAGCGATGGCTAGTAGCGATGGCCTCCACCCCAGTGGCGATGGCCTCCACCCTAGTAGCAATGGCCTCCAACCTACTGGCGATGGCCTTCAACCTAGTAGCG